AAAATTTAAATTAATTTCTTTACATTTATCAATAATTGCGTTGAGCGTATATAAGTATGTTTCATTCTTTTTATCGGGAAGTAGACAAAAAATTAATGGTTAAGAATGTCCATTTTGAAAACCATGAATTGTAAACATTTGCGTAAAAAATCGCGTACAATATTGAAAAGTTCCATCCATATAAATAGTGTCTACTGTATTTAAAAATATTAAATTAGTCATACAAGAAAAAATAATAACTTTTTTTTCTTGATTATTTATTAAAACAAATGGTTCATTTTTTGAGGTTACAGTTTCATATGTATTTAAAGCCATGTGTGCTTCAATTATATTACTTGGCAACACAGGAAGAACTTTACGTCTACTTCTATATATTATTTTTCTAATTGTATTAAAATCGTTTGATGTTAGGCCATCAGAAAGTTGAGAGTTCTGTGCTAATTCTTTTAAAATAATTTTTTTTGATGTATAAAAAGTTCTTCCGAAGCTTTTCGTTTACAAGTTGTACTCACCATTTGTCGGTTTATATCTGAATCATTGCATGGTATGTGATTGTGTCGATCTTGATCAGATAATAAAATATTTTCTTCATTTACAACTTTAGAACCAAAAGTATATAACGTGGCAGAACACGAACGTTTTACACAACGCCAACGAACCTCACATGTATTTACGTTATTTGAACCGAAATTGTATTTATAATTATTAAATATTACCATATCTTTGTCTCTTTTACTTTTTAAAAACACAGCCATTTTAGTAAAATTCGTGATATGTTTACACGTCGACGTTGCATATACGCACTACGCTGGTAATCTTTTTTGTTCATTACTTTTATAAGTTTTAAGTATGTAATTTGTTTTATGGTTAGGTTCCTTTTTAAATTAGATAAGATAACCTACGGTTATGATGCAGCACATTGATAAATTCACTTTATAGATTTTGATCGATTTCAATTCGATAACGACTGGATTATTACTATAGGTTTTATAAAGTTCCCTAAAATACAATATTTGACTGAACTATTGCCAACTTAATTTGAAATTGGTCTAAACTACTCTGGGCGAAACGGAAATCATATAAAAACAAAATTTGGGCAAAACGGGTACCCGGGCGAAACGGGTACGGTCATTTTTGGGCGAAACGGGCTACGCCCATTAGATCAAATATCATTGGAAGATATTGTAGAATATTTAAAATCTTCATCTTCACTTATGTCTAAATTATTATCTTAAGTATATCCTACTATAAAATGATTATTACCTATATCTTTTTAGGGTTCCGTACGGTAAAACGTGTTTTGTGTTATAATTAGTATTATTTATTATTATTTTTTTAATATTTAATGTAGGTACGTTTAATATTATTGTTATAAACCTTTAAAAAAAGATATTTTTAATTATTAATTTGAAATAAAATAAATTAATTCACAAAAAATAATATTGTATTTTTTATTAAACTCCACTAATTATTTGTGTATTATTTTAAAGCATATAGGTACTAAGTAAATTTATTTTGTATAGTATCATGGGACATGGATTATGGATAACATCACATAACTAAATAATCATGGTTGTTGAATATGAAGGTAATAAGAAAGTGGTCACTTCTAACCTCTTTAAGTCTGTGCAATATTCTAAGTACTCATGTATAAGCGACCGCTTATCCTCCTCGAGGAGCTACAAACGTGTGCGTGCGGGTACGTTTAAGCTGCGTTATTATGTACGGATATTGGACTACCGGCAGCGTCGTCCACACAGTAAAATATTTATATACTACTATATTGGGTAATTTATTTTTAAAACTAACAGCGTTGTCTATTGTTAATAATATCATTAATATTAACATGATGAATACAGAGGAAAAAATGTATAATTTAAAATGTCATCAGACATGTTTAGACCACGGAAAGATAATGCCTAAATTGCTCAAAATAATTTCAAATTAGGTAAATAAATGTTATTTAATTTTTAAAAGTTATAACACTATTTAATTTATGAATTATGATAATTCTATGATACAAAAGAGCATTAGCCGATTATGCACTTTCCCAGTGTAAAGTTCCACACGGGGAATGTGTGACATGATTTATGGGGAAAGTACGACATGCCTTATTTTGTTAAATAGTTAAAAAGATTTTATAAACATTGTGGGTGACTTAAATATTTATGAGTTACAAATATACATCTTTAAATATGTAAAAAGTTGACAATTAAACTTTGAATATGTTAATGTTATATCAACCAAAACTTAAAATCACAATTTTTTTTTATAAGCATTTAAAGTTCAAAATTTGACAAAATATGGAAAAATCACGAAAATTATTTTGAGTTAAGAATTCGAAAAATTTTTTCTTTTTAAATCTAAAATTTGAAAATGTAAAACAAGGTTACTCATAAGTTTGTCTACCTTTATCAATAAAAAAATCTCTACCGGACAGTCAAATTAAATTTTTATGAGCGTTTGAAATTCAAATTTTTACAACATTGGATGTTCACTCGATTTCTCATGTAGCGATTTCCTTATTTTATTGTTATTCATAAACGAATAACTATAGATACATGAAAATTTCACTGAGAGCCGTTTTATCAATCACCAGTTAAATGTCTAGTTAACTAATCTCAGTTAATTACTAACTGTAGATTAAAAATATTATGATTTTATCAAATATCTTTATACTAAGATTAACTATTCTAGCGTATAACAAACCGAAGATTAATTAACTACCGAAATGCATTGATTGATGTTAGTCACATCAGTAAAATGAAAATGTTTCTAACTTCTATCAATGAATTGTTATCTTTTATCATGATATATTTATTTTGAGTGATACGCTTACATTATCTGACATATTTTTTTCCGATCTTTTGACGTTTTCAGTTAACAGTTTTTCACTTTTAAAAATATAGAATATTAGAATACTATTTATTTTATATGTTGTTGTGTTGTATTTGTTAGTTTTGAATACAATTTTATTACTATGAGTTTATTAAAAATTAAACGTGAACGCTCCACAAATTTTATTGACGGCGAACTGCAACTTCTTGTCGACCTGGTGGCTAGTCAAAAACATATTTTGGAGAACAAAAAAACAGATGCCGTAACAGCCAACCTAAAGAATAAAACTTGGGAAGCATTAGCAAATAAATTTAATTGCAAAAGCCTAAATGGATATCGTAGTCCAAAATGTTTGAAATTAAAATATGAAAATTTAAAAAAAAATGTAAAAATCAAGTTGCGATATGTGAAATCAAAACCCTGTGTAACAGGAGGAGGACCTCCAATTCCATTAAAAGCACTCAGCAAATTGTCCCCTATGGAAGAACAACTAAGATCTTTGAACCCTCTAGCTTTTAGTGGTAAAGTGTCAGCATTTGACAGTGACAGAATTGAAGATCAAAATACATACAGTCATGAAATGCTTGTACAGGATTATGAGAAAACTGACAGTAATGTAAGTAATTAATATTTTGATTGATTCGTACATTATTATTATTACAAATATTGTTAATGAATTTCAATTATAGTGTATAGATGAAAACATTCTAGAATTTGATTGTCAAGAAAATAATACTGATGTTAGTTAAATTTGTAAAATACTTATCTGCTTTTTAATTGGATTAATACATTTGAATACCTAATAAATTGTTTATTATAAATCATCAAGGGATTTCAAGAGTCATTTGTCCATACTTCTGAAAAAGATTTTGATGTTGGTGAAGATTGGACAGATTATACACCAGCAAAATTGAGAACGCCGATTTCTCCAGAGCTATCATCTACAACACACCAGAAAAGCTTAGACACTCTGTATTCACCTAATATATTTGCTATCTCTGATGCTGGTTCAGATGATGAGTTAAAAAGTGAGAAAATAAATATATATATATATTATTATTATACTATATATTATAATTTATATTATATTCTTGCTACTTTAATGTTAAATATAGTAAGAAACCCTCAAGAAAATCTGAAATCTAAAAAATGTTCTGCTTATGCAAAAAAACAAACAAGGTTAGTTGGTTGAACATTTTTAAAACCAAAATCACAAGAATGATACACATATTAGTCAGATAACTATGTTCTTATGTTAAACACTAATCGAACACAGAATTAAATATGTAATTACAGTAAATAGTGTACTATTATTATGATTTGAGTTTCTTACATAATTTAAAATATATTTGTGAAAAATGCTTGATAATATTAATTACCTAGCTTGTTCATTAAATGTGTGTTATTTGAATTTATATTGTATACGGTTTGTCCCTCTAGAAAGAAAAGAAAACGAATTTAAATTAAAAATTTTGGCTGCTGAATTGGCATCCAAAGAAACTTAAGTTATTTAAGAAAATTGAATTTATCTTAATGTTATAATGCAAAAGAAAATATTGTTCATGTTAATTTTTTATAGTTAAAATAGTAAATCAATTTATGTCATTAAAAAATAAAAGACTGTTTATGTTAATTAATTTTATATTGTTCATGTTGATTAGTTAATTTTATAGTTAGAATAATAAGTCACCTTATGTTATTAAAAAAAAAAGACTGTTTATGTTAATTAATTTTATATTGTTCATGTTGTTTACGTTAATTTTATAGTTAAAATAATAAAGTCAGTTATAATATGTCAGTTTATAATGTGTATATATATAGATTATATTTATATATCAATTTATAGTAACAAAGAAAAGTGAATTTAAAAAGAAAAGACTGATTATATATTATAATAAAATAAATAATTTTATAATAAATGATTAAAACTATTGATTATGTACAGTTTACATTGTACACATAATTTAAGAATGTTAAATGTTGACAGCAGTCAGATTGTTAAAATATATTGTAATAAAAAATTTTTAATTTAATATATTATTATATTTTTAGTAGTTAAATACAAATATTTAATGATCATAAAGTCATAACCTCATCATGGAATTATATCAAAATACATTTAAAACTAATTTTACAATTAAATCTAGTTGTAGACTATACACTTAACACATTTCACCAAAGTGTCTATTAATCAAATTCTTTCTTGTTCTATCATTTGCATTATTTCTAATATTATCGTTAGTCACATTATTGTTGACAGAATTTACTAAATTGATTTGTTCTTGAATTTCATTTGTAGTAACTGGTATTTTTTCTTTTTGTAGAATAGCAATATTATGTAATACAGCAGTTGCTACAATAATTGCTTCTACTTTGCTTAAATCCAAACGAATCCCTAATGATAATACCGGAAATCTCCTTTTCCAAACTCCATAGGATCGTTCAACAACATTTCTAGTTTTCTGCTCTTGTGAGTGGATTTAATAGAGGTGTCAATAAGTAATTTTTCACTGCATATCCACCATCACCAACAATCAGACCATTTCCAAATTCGTTTGCTTCTAGACGTCTATAGATGGAAGAATTGAAAAATATAGTTGAATCGTGTGACGAACCAGGCCAGCGTGCAACTATATCTCGTATCATTAATTGATCGTCCGATATGGTTTGTACATTAATGGAAAAAAAGTTTTTCCTGTTTCTGTAATTCTCTGCATTATCGCCACCTGGTGATGATATTTTAACATGTGTACAATCAATGGCTCCGATACATCGTGGAAATTTGGCTTTCAAATGAAATCTTGTCTGAAGATCTGAAATTTCATTATCATTGCTGGGCATGTTTATAAAACGTGGTCTTAGGCTTGCTAGAGCAATATTCATTTTTTTTATTATATTTGATGCAGTTGAGTAATGAATACCAAATAATTCACCAACATTTATCAAAAATGAGTCTGAAGCATAAAACCTCAGTGTTAATAACAATTGTTGTTCAGCAGTGACAGCACGATTTCTGTATAGGTATGGATAATAAAAGTATAAAATTTGAATTAGAAATTGAGGAACATAAAACTACTTTTACTAAGCTACATGTAAAATTAGTAATTACAGGAAAAAAATGTAAAAGTAAGTAATTTTTAGTAAAAATGTCGTATGCTGTAGTAATAATTCGAAATTTTAGATTCTGAACGAATGTATTGATTTTACTATGAAGTGTATTTTTTTTTGTGTCTGTCATCGCCTTTTGGTGCAATAAGAATGCCTAGATTTGTAACTTTAAAAATTATTTCCAATACCTAGCGGCTAGCAAAGTGAATGTAGGTAATGGGTACTTTAAGGTGTCAAATTGTGTTTATTAAACTAATAAAAACTATTGTATTATAATAGAAAACTATAATTACTGTCATTTTAATTTGAATAATAAAAAAGTGAGCAATTGGGTGTCGCTCTGCTGTACATTAGGTTACAAGTTGATCACTGTAATGGATTGTGTTAAATTTGAATTCAATGATAAGAAAAACGATTCCAAGCAAAGACAGCCAGTCAGTCTATACTAAAGTATAATTTGAATTTTACGTGGAACCTTGTTTTAATTTTTCAATCCTTAGCTATAAAAATTTAACATTTTATACATTTTTAATTTTAGATTTGATAAATTTTGTCAAAATTTGAACATTAAATGCTTATTAAAAAAAAAAGGTGGGCAAGTGGGTGTCGCTCTGCTGTACAGTAGGTTACAAGTGAGTCACTGTATAATGGATGATATTAAATTTGAATTCAACGATATAATATCATTGTATAAGAAAAACGATTCTGAGCGGAGACGGTATGTCAGTCTAGGTATAAGACATATTATATACTTATCTATGGTATTAAAAAAAATTGACCTGTAATAGATACCTATAATAAATTCCAAATTAATCATATCACAATATCCATTAGGTACTTATAACGCGTCTTACATCAATAACAAACCGTGATACTCTCATAGATATAAATTATAATAGTGTACTTTAGAAGTTTCAAGTACCCACGAATAACATTATACAATCACAATAAAATAACTAAAATACCTAGTTATTCTAGGTTTTTTATTACGAAATTTCGTTTAAATTTGAACTTACAATGACTATAAAAATAAACTGTGCTTATGTAATTTTTATATTTTTATATCTATGGTATTAAAAAAAAAATTGACCTTTAATAGGTATACCTATTACCTATAGGTAAGTACCTACAATAAATTCCAAATTAATCATATCACAATATCCATTGGATACGTCTTATAACGCGTTATACATCAATAACAAATCGTGATACTATCATAGACCATATTATTGTCGTAGACGATAAACCACAATGTCGATAAAATCAAATTTATTAATTAAGTAATGTGATGGTAATTAATAATGATAACTTATACACTATCGTCTATCAGTAGTTGTGGGTGAGTTAAACGTCCGGACGTATTACCATAGAACGTATTACATATTTGTATATCAACTATAATATTATGTATTATAATATTATATCTGTGGTTATGACTTGTAAATATTCGACTCGTTATTATGTTTAATTTTAGGTGTTACATACTCTGATACTAATTTTATTAGTAAAAAAAAAATTTTTACCTGTAAATTTACTAAGCTTACAGTTACATCAAATATCTATAGATTTATTCATGATTATAATTTTATTTAATTTGCCTTATTATGTGTTGTGTTGCTTGTTTGTATGAAAATGTGTAATGACATAACCTATGGGTACACATAATGCACAAGACAAATCAAATCCTGGATTATTTTTCAATACTTTCACAAAACAATAAACATTTGTAGGTAAGTTTTAGAAGTATCATAACTCTTGTCTGTTATTTAAGATTATTGATATATTAAATTATTTTATACTTATGTTATTTATTTAGATACAGTAAATGGCAAGATTATGTCATTGATGGAGAATATGCAAGTATAACAAATAATTTGTCCTAAATTATTCCTGCTGATGTTATACTCTGTGGATTTTAGTCCAAATTTTAACCTCTCAAATTAGTTTTACTTAACTGTGGAGCTACTTCAAATAAATTTGACCGGATTAGAATTAATTGTAATCAAACAATTCTACTATTAAAAATTTACTGATTTTATTAATTATAATATTTATTACATTTCATACAATTAACAATTGATACATCAGTTTAATTAAAAGTACAGTACCTAAATACAGAATCTTGTGAGTGTTTTGTATCACAAAATACACCGAGTATTGAAGACTTTTTCAAAGATTTAGAATTATAAAAAATTAAATATGAATAAATATACATTTTGTACTGTTAAACCATATTAAGGCCATCAAAAGGTTCAAATGCTTACAAACTATTAATTGTTTAAATATTTTGAAAATCTGTAAAAAAAAACCATCAATTTAGTTTGTTCAAAAAAATTATAAGCACAACAACAGTAGTTTTTTTGATAGTATTTATCTTAAATGTATTTAATATTTTTATGTGTGTATATAAAATGTATTATTTAGTTTTTTCAGTATCATTAAGATGTATCATGATATGCATAATGTTTACAGAGTATTATGATTTAAGAATAAATAGATTTAAATTTAATATATTTATTAGTTGTATACTAATTGGAAATGTATTAAGATAAATTGCCAACAGTGTATTATCAAAATGCAAAGTGTTAGAAAAATATTTATTGCATTTGAATATTATAACATATTATGTTACACATTTGGTAATGTAACAAATTGTATCAAAATATTTAAATCATTGGTATAATATTATGAAGGATTGACAAAAAATAAATACAAATGGGATCAATGGTTAATTTATAATAATAAATACTTTTGTAGGAATAATAATAAAATCTAGATCTCTACTTATTTATATAAAAAAGAGAAAACAATTATTATAAGGTAAGCGCCCTCACACTTTTATCCAGGCTTGAGACTGGCAACTCATACATAATAATAATAATAATATTATGTAGTTAATTAGTTGGCGGTTTACACGTTCCTTTTTCAATGATATCTTAATCAGATAGTTAATATTTTATGTAATTTATGTACATATTATTTTTGGTTGGTGTATAGTTTTTGTAGATTGTTCTTACTTTAAAAATATTGTTATATTCTTTGTAGAATGATAACATATACATCTTTGCTGTTATTCGGCCACCTTTTTTCAGCAATTGTTGTGTCATTGGCGGAAACCCAATTAGAATGTGCTTGTTTCAGATATGCGATATAATGGCCAGAGCTCGTGTTTTGTCCAATATGTAATATAGCGGCTTGAGGTTTGTAACTCGCTCCAGCAATTTCTAAAGTACTGGACGGTACACCGCTAAGTTTTAAATTGGTTATCTTGTTGGAAACAAATTGTTCGTTTATGAAGGTTGTAGTAAATAATTTTAATTGAATTATTATATATTCATGGGCTAATATTATCTGATGTTTACTTTCACAACCTCCAATGTTATTACAATTATTGCATCTGTAGTCTGATATGCTAGACCATACATTTTGATCAGTTGAAAATAATGTTTGCAGAGTTTGTGATCTTTCTTGTGGAATATCCAAATGTAGGATCAAACTGGTCGTCTGTGCATCACTAGTTGTTGTATGACTACACAAATTGCAACGACTGCTATACAATTCTTGAAATCCAAATAATGAATCAAATGTATGTCTGTTACGGTTCATAAGTGCTTCTAAAAATTGTACACAATCTTGTTGTTCTTGCAGAGTATAAAATATTGTCTCGTCGTCCAAATATTCTCTGATTGTTCGAGTATTAGATGGGATACTGTTTATACTATAATCGTCCAGGCATTGTTGAAGTGTTGGTCCAAGTTCATTATTGCGAATTTAGTTTGCAAGTGATTCACAATGAAAAAGTACCTGTATGACAGAATTGGCATAACATGAGACATTGTCAATATTTGTAAAGCCACAAATACCACTCGATATTATGCCTATTGGATTTTTGATCTTTGGTATTACTCTCGATGTAGTTATATTATCACTTGGTTCTAATAATATATTTGAGCTTCTGTTACAATTTTCTGGAACCATGATAGTACAACTATCGACATGAATGAATTCAATATCGTCAAAGTTAACATTATTGAAGACCTCAGTTGATTTAGTTTTAGTTTCAATAACCTTGACTGTGCCACTATCAACTTGAAAGAATTCAATATCATCAAAGTTATTGTTATTCCTGACCTTCGTTGATTTTACCAGAATATCTCTATTAGCTATGCTGACTTTTGATTTTATCAAATTGTTTTCAACAACTTTTACAATTTGATCATCAGCTGTCTCATCATTTTTTTCAATTTCACTGCAAGTTTCTTTGTCCATAAGGAGAATAGGCCTGTGATCACTTATGAGAGACTCGTACACCAAAGCTGCAATTTCAAAATTTGATATGGCATTGTCTATGCTTGTTCCGTAATCTGTAGTTATATTATCTACTAATACTTTATAATTGAATTGCTTTAATATTTGAACTAGTTGTTTTGGTGGTTTATTGAAGTTTGTATTGAAATCACCGATGAACACAACTTTTGTTTGGGTTGAAGCTACTTGTTCGATGAAATCCCAAAGTTTCTGTACAGGAAACTTAGGCGATGAATATATACCAATGTAGGTTATATTTTCAAAGAATACTTCAATCGCTTCTAGATGTGTTTGTGTTTTTTTGTCTTGGATTAATGTCGAATTGCTAGTTATTTCCTTATTTTGAATAGATTCTCCAACAAAACAAATTGAACCACTCTTGCCATTGGCATGTATACTGTCTATTCTACAGCATTCAATATGGTTCTTAATGTTATATGTGTCTGTTGATTTTGAACCGGTTTCTTGGAAAAACATTAGTTGAGATTGCAAAAGAACGTTGTCCGCATTAATATGATCTTCATATTTTTTTAACGATCTTATATTATGTGACATACACGATAGTGGCTTGTTGTCTTTCATAATTCTAGAAAACCGTGGATTTAGGGCACAACTTTGTGTCCTAAGTCTGGACATCTCATGTTCAACTTTTAATGAAGGTTTTGGTGGCTTTGCAGGAAAGTGGTCTAGCTGCAAACCTTGCGCTGAAGTTGCTCGACTACATCCAACGTATAGCATATTGCATTTCAAGTATTTTTTGGGTATATGAAATGCTACGGATTGATACGTGGCGCCTTGGCTTTTGTGTACCGTCAATGCCAAAGCTTCTACCAAGGGCAATTGCATTCTCGTTACCTTATGGTGCTCCGCATTGCCCAATTGAAATTCTAATTTTGTGATTTCAATTGGTGTCCACTTGCACATATCGTCTGTGTGGTCGCCTTCTGGTTTCAGTTTGTTTTTAATCTGCTGTCTAGTCATCGAACTTGATCCAAACTCTTTTAGCAACTTCTTTACCTCCTACAGTTTGCCCTTTGTTTATTTGCATTAGATCTCCAATGGCACCATTGACTATGCCGTCTTCGGTTGAAATGTTTGCTATCACCATATACTTGGCTGTTTCTTTTAAAACTAATCTTAAAGGTAATCCCATAGTCTTTTGTCGTGGCAGTTTCTTGGCAGATTCAATATCCTGTCGTTTTGCGGACGTATCAATTGCTTCAGAAATGAAACCGACTTGATTCATAGAGCTAAGCACTCTTCTGTTCATTTCGTCGACTTCGTTGTTTGTAGCCCAGAGGTGCATTACTTGTGGTTGAAAAGTAACGTCTAACTGGGTTACGAGATTTTGGAAATATTTCACATCAGCTTCCTCCAACTGTCCTCTGGCCAACTTTGTTAACATTATTGCAAATTGTTTGTCATCTTTTTGGCGCATTATTTCAGTCAATTCGTAAAACTTGAATGTTTCCCAAATAGATTTAATTGATAAGATTTCTACTGCACTTGGATATTTAGACAGTATTTCTTCAAAGCTGTCGTACAAAGGTGTTGACAATACCGGTGGTAATTGAAAGAAATCACCAAACACTATTATGTTTATGTCACCAAACGGTTTATTTATTCTTAGAATAGACCTCAATCGCTGATCAATATATCCCAGAGTTTTTATGCCGACCATGGAAATTTCATCAATTATCAAAAGCTTAACGTTGGCAAATTGGCAACGTAGTGTATTTGAAATATCTGAACTCAATTTTGGTAGCAATCCGGCAAATTGATTCAATGGGAGTTTGAACGCAGAATGAAGTGTCAGACCTCTTATTCCATAAGCTGCTTTGCCTGTCGGTGCTGTGAGTAATACTGGCGGAAGTGATAGATCGTCTATATCTGGTCTAAGATTTGCTATGCGAATTACAGACTGTGCTAATGCTCGTATAAGCATTGACTTACCAGCTCCTGCTGGACCAGTGACAAACGCCTTTATCGCAGGATCGTCTCTGCCCCATATTTGCCTTCTTATGATATGAGTGGTATGATATAAGAGTTGGCGTTGACCGTCGTTTAAACATCTGATCAGGTCATTGTACTGTTCATTGTCAATGAGGTGCACTCTTATTTTTCCGCCATCTTTAGGTTTATCAACATCTGGAGTGTTTGTAGTTTCTACATAATCTCCAACATCATTTAGTAGTTCATCGTCTGGCACCCAATCTTCATCGTCTTGAACCAGATTATTGTTATTGCCTTGCTCCGCTTCTATTTGATTTTCATCATTGTCTAGTTGATTTTCTTCGACTTTATTAAACTGTTGGTACAAGTCTTTTATCCGATCAATGTTTGTTTCATATACTTGTTTACAGTTAATATTTAGCAAATCAGCTGTTTCATCGCGCCATGGTAAAAATAACATAACATTTTCTCTGTAAAAGTCTTGTTCATTTTTATCCACATTAAACCTTACATACCGTATGATTTTTCTGATTTTACGTTTATGTATACATTTGTTTGGTTTTCCGATTAGCGTAGAGTCAATCGAATAAGCGGTTTCTTCTTCAATATCAGTGTCCGACTCTGAATTGTTCTTGGCAGGTTTTTTTTTACCACGAATTTCATAATTGGCTCCAAATTCAGCCAAAGTTATATCTTCAAGACTATAAGGTCTAGACGAATAGTATTCAATGAGGCCATCGTAGAAAATATCATCAGATTGTGGATCCATTTCTTCTCTTACTGCTATTGGTTTCAACATTCGAGTTCTTTTATCCGGATGGCTGGTGTTAATGAATGTATACCCAGTTGACGTATTGCTTTGCTTCATACCTAAGCAAGTGTACACTGCTTCCTGTGCAGAAATTTCCTGACTTCCCGAAAACGTGGAAGCTATCCTTTTCAGTTGTTCTTTGACAGATATATCAGTGGAAGTTTTGAGATTCTCGACAATGTCCCTCATTAACTTTGATATTCCACGTTGGCTTTTTCCAATATACTCTATTACATATCTGACACAAGAGTAAACATCCAATATAAACTGTATGTCCATATTAGATTGCCACAGCGGAAATAATTCCTCATTGAATTCAGAAATCATTCTTTGTTTTATGGTTCGTTTTAGAAAAACTGTCGGCCGTTTGATAACAGTTCGAATAATGGATTTATATTCATTAACATCTGCTATTGAAAATTTTTGTAAAATATCTTCTAATGACGGATCTGAAGATGTGCCACAGTCCTTGAAGTCTCTGAGATATTGCAGAAGTTTTTCATATTGTTGTATACGAATTTGTCTTGTGACTGCATTACTGTTGTCGGCTGTTAGCGGAGTCAATATGCAGGTTTCATTCATCGGTGGATACGGTATGTTGAAGCGACACTTTTTCATTTGTTTATCTTTGTCAGTCCTGTAACAAGTGTGTGTATGTTTATGAGTATTTTTATGTAAATACTCATGGGCAGGACTGCTATCGTCTACCATACACTTGATGTATTTGTTAATTAGCGTTACACAGGCACCAAAAGTTTCCGGTTTGGCTGGGTCAAAAACGGGTGCATTGTCTAACCACAATAGCATGTGTACATGTGGACTTCCTCTATGCTGATATTCGACCCGGTAAAAGAAATGCTTTACACTGTGTTCTTTGAAAATTACATTTTTTGATTTAATCAATTTGAACAGTGCTCTAAACCTGTGGTCAAAATAAGTAGCACAAACAACAGGATCTTGTCGAATTAAATCTGATTTTTGAGCATAAGTTAGTTCAGTGTCGTCAGATAATGTTTTGGAGTAACGTAGCTTGTATAGAATCTTCAATAAATCATTCCAAGTTGATTCACTAGGGCTAAATGTTAGGAATAATGTCGGTTGCCCTTCTTGACGCACCATAGCAAAAACGTTTTTCCTCATTGCAGCTAGATATGATGGTGAATTTTGTACGTTGTGTAGCATTCGGTATCCTTGATCATTATCTATCATTTTATTTAATACTTCTGGATTTGCTACGTCATTAACAGTTGTGTTTCCTTTTTTGTTTTTTCGTAAAACAATTTGCACATTACTAGCAATTAATTTTTGAACTAATACTTTGCATTTAAAAAATAAGTTTGAAGAGTCCGATGCAAATCTTCGATCTACGTTCAGCAGTTCAGATCGTACTACTTTTGAATAATTCTTTAGAGGCGATTTATGATTGCGTGGATGCCCTCCAAACAAATCAGGAAAAGATTTTTCTTCCGCGTGATCATCAATGAGAATAGACAACGGTTTCATGCCTTCACCTGGAGCAAAAGAGACAAAATCACAGTTTTCAATCATCGTGTCCATTGTTCCCGGATTGATTGGTTCGATATTTGTATCTTCATCGTCAGTTCCTTCGCTTTCGAGATCCGAACCATTTTCCATACTCTTGGTGGTTTCTGTGACATGAGCTAACCAATCTCTGTCTATTTCGGCATCTTGATACAGTGGTTTTTTAATCAAATCATTCAATGCTGCTACTACTAACGACGGTCTAACATTTTGATAAAGATAATGTTGTTTAAAACATGATTTTCTTTTTAATTTAACTTTCATCATCTTAACTGCAGCTAAATTTTCGGCACGTCTGGGCAAAATAGATGTAGTCTTAGTGAGATCTATCGGAACATTGATAACGTTGCCTTTGATTTTTAGTTGTCCATCACTTCGGAGACATTTGAATATTTTCATAAACGGTAATCTGAGTGAGACCATCTGCTTTTCAATTTGATTTAATTGAGTAACTGAAGGTGGAACACTGTTCAACTCAAAACCATTTCCTATGTACAATGGAGGAATTTTTGATTTCTTCATATGCGGATGACAACTTGTGCATATCTGTACACTACTCTTGGCATCACTTGGAATTGACATCCCTAATCGCCTGAGGAGATCGAAGTTGCACTTATTGACACTAGATAGGAAACGTAATCGATGGCACGAATAACATTTTTCTGATAAACCTTGTGACCTTTTCAAAATATATTCAGAAATTAAAACATCTTCCCTCTGCCTGGTTTCATTTAATTTCTGCCGTTCTCTTCTTTTATATGATGTAGAATTTGGTATTTTTCTTTTACTAGATATATTTTGCCTAAAACTACTATCAGATGGTATTCTTCTCCTCTTCATGTTTTGAGCGTTCTTTATTTGATACGTGTTTTTGAAAACTGAATTTTCCAGTCTTTTTGATCTGTTTATTTCACTGGCAATCTGGTTTTTAAGTTTATTCGCCGGATCTTGCAATCGTTTGTCCATATTTTTCCGACAAGTGATCTGGTGTTTTTTTCTATTCACAGGATCTTGCAATCGTTTCACCATGGTTTGACGACTGGTAATCTGGTTTTTAACTTTATTCGCCGGATCTTGCAATCGTTTGTCCATGTTTAAACGACTGGTGATCTGGTTTTTAAGTTTATTCGCCGGATCTTGCAATCGTTTGTCCATATTTTTCCGACAAGTGATCTGGTGTTTTTTTCTATTCACAGGATCTTGTAATCGTTTCACCATGGTTTGACGACTGGTTATCTGGTTTTTAACTTTATTCGCCGGATCTTGCAATCGTTTGTCCATGTTTAAACGACTGGTGATCTGGTTTTTAAGTTTATTCGCCGGATCTTGCAATCGTTTGTCCATATTTTTCCGACAAGTGATCTGGTGTTTTTTTCTATTCACAGGATCTTGTAATCGTTTCACCATGGTTTGACGACTGGTAATCTGGTTTTTAACTTTATTCGCCGGATCTTGCAATCGTTTGTCCATGTTTAAACGACTGGTGATCTGGTTTTTAAGTTTATTCGCCGGATCTTGCAATCGTTTGTCCATATTTTTCCGACAAGTTATCTGGTATTTTTTTCTATTCACAGGATCTTGCAATCGTTTTACCATGGTTTGACGACTGGTAATCTGGTTTTTAACTTTATTCGCCGGATCTTGCAATCGTTTGTCCATGTTTAAACGACTGGTGATCTGGTTTTTAAGTTTATTCGCCGGATCTTGCAATCGTTTGTCCATATTTTTCCGACAACTGATCTGGTGTTTTTTTCTATTCACAGGATCTTGCAATCGTTTGTCCATATTTAAACGACTGGTGATCTGGTTTTTAAGTTTATTCGCCGGATCTTGCAGTCGTATGGCCATGTTTTTACGACTGGTGATCTGGTTATTTAATTTATTCACCGGATCTAGTAATCGTTTTTTTGTACATTTCAAATTAAGAATTTTTTTTTGATTTGTAATATCTTGTGAAGCAAGATATAACCGTTTTCTTAATTTATCATTTTCAAGTTCTTGTACACGAAAACTTTCATTGTCACGGGACCGTGACTTGGCTTCTTTGTTTTTTAGCGCACGTTTTGATAGGCGTCCCATTTTTAAAAAAAAAATTACAATACAATAAAAAAAAAAAAAAAAAAAACTACAATAACTTCTTCTACTACTTTACTACTTCTACGACTTCTAGGAATGAATGCAACCTTCTGTCAACTTCCGTCAACCTAAAAAAAACAAACAAATATAGTTAAATACTATGGAATAATAATAATAATAATAATAATAATAATAATATTACCTTAATTAAATACAATAAAACCACAACTGACTGCCACTGAATGACTAGAAATCTAAAATAAAATTTTAATTTTTGAATAGCCACTATGAAAAAATAATTAATTGAAAATAACAGCTGTGTAGAATAATAGTTATGTCATTGTGACCAAGACCTGACTAGATATTTATTTTATTTTATTGTTGAAATAATACACAATACCATAGACACAACTAGAGATTTTATTGACCTGACGGGCTTCATCTATAGTTTTACCTATGCTCCTTGATTTTAATAAATATTTCCACAAACAACAGAACCCAGTATAACAGAAAACATATGAGTATACAGAGTGTTACAGCAATAACTAACAATTTGCTAGCCTAAGTTTATTGTACTATATATTTTTAAAATTAAGAATAATAAAGAAATACTATACAGGTAACTAATATGTTATGAAAAAAAAAAATGTAGTTGCTATTATTTAATTTTGTTTCAAGATGATAATCATATTATATTGTAAATTAAAAAAAATAGAAAGAACCCAATGACCAATAGTAACCTATAACTTATTTAGCAAAGTTGGGCAAGTTATTCATTTTTTTCAACTAGTTAAAGTTATGCGTTGATACAAAAACTAAGTTAAACTATAAGTTAGTTTGATAAAAATAGTAATTTAAGTTAGAATAGAAGTTAGTGTTTTTTAACTTATTTAGTTTTTTTTATATAGGTAGTTTAAAATACACATTTGAAAACCGTTTGTTCAAAATATATTACGTAAGTATTACAGAAAGGAATTACTCGGTGCAAGGCCGTAACTGAAAAAAATATGGAGTGGGGTCCAAAATTTTTTTAAATATGGATACTGGACACATCATTTGTACATTAAAAATATAAAAACTCTTGTTCTACTTTAAAAAATAAGTCACCCCCCTCCTACCGCTACTGCCTTGACTGTTTCAGTACCTGACTTAAATTATTGAAATATTGGTGACAATAGAAGAATTTTATTGAACAACTGGTAATTCGATAGTGTTTCAACTTTAAAGTAGGTAGGTAATAAGTAATAACTAATAACCCCTATTTCTTGGAAACGAATTGGAATATCAGTCATATGAACATAATACTAGATATAAAAAAACATTAATATAATTAAAACAAATTGTAAAAAGTCTTTTGGACTTGGAAGGTGTATGAATATAGCAGCTGACTAGTTGAGATGTGTCAAATATCTTAATAAAAATATTTGTAACCTTAAAAA